CAGGCACTTAAGTATTCGTCAAAGAGTCACCCCAGTAGTGGTGATCACAGACATGAAAAGATGCGAGACGCCGCAGATCCTTCACCACCAAATAAAATGTTGCGGAGATCTGATAGTCCTGAAAACAAATACAGTGACAGCACAGGTCACAATAATGCCAAAAATGTGCACGCTCAAAGAGTTAGAGAAAGAGAAGGTGGGACCAATTACTCTCCACAAGAAAATTCACACAACCACAGTGCTCTTCATAGTTCAAATTCACATTCTTCTAATCCAAGCAATAATCCAAGCAAAACTTCAGATGCACCTTATGATTCTGCAGATGACTGGTCTGAACATATTAGCTCTTCTGGAAAAAAATACTACTACAATTGTCGCACAGAATTTTCACAGTGGGAAAAACCAAAAGAGTGGCTTGAAAGAGAACAGAGACAAAAAGAAGCAAATAAGTTGGCAGTTAATAGTTTCCCAAAAGATAGGGATTACAGAAGGGAGGTGATGCAATCGACAGCCACTAGTGGGTTCACCAGTGCAATGGAAGACAAGCATTCCGGCGATGCCAGTAGTTTGCTCCCACAGAACATTTTGTCTCAGACAAGCAGACACAATGACAAAGACTACAGACTGCCAAGAGCAGAGACTCACAGTAGCTCTGCGCCAGTACAGCACCCCATCAAACCCGTGGTTCATCCAACCGCTACCCCCAGCACTGTTCCTTCTAGTCCATTTATGCTTCAATCTGATCACCAGCCAAAGAAATCATTTGATGCTAATGGAGCATCTGCTTTATCCAAACTGCCTACACCCACAGCTTCTGTCCCTGCACAGAAAACAGAGAGAAAAGAATCTGCTCCAGGAGACAAATCAGTATCACATTCTTTGACAACTCCTTCCACATCTTCAGCCTCTGGCCTGAACCCCACATCTGCACCTCCAACATCTGCTTCAACAGTACCTGTTTCTCCTGTTCCACAATCACCAATACCTCCTTTACTTCAGGACCCAAATCTTCTTAGACAGTTGCTTCCTGCTTTGCAAGCCACGCTACAGCTTAATAATTCTAATGTGGACATATCCAAAATAAATGAAGTTCTTACAGCAGCTGTAACACAAGCTTCCCTGCAGTCTATCATCCACAAGTTTCTTACTGCTGGACCATCTGCTTTCAACATCACCTCTCTGATTTCTCAAGCTGCCCAGCTCTCTACACAAGCCCAGCCATCTAATCAGTCTCCGATGTCTCTAACGTCTGATGCTTCATCCCCAAGATCCTATGTGTCTTCAAGAATAAGCACACCTCAAACAAACACAGTCCCTATCAAACCTTTGATTAGTACTCCACCTGTTTCGTCACAGCCAAAGGTTAGTACTCCAGTAGTTAAGCAAGGGCCACTGTCACAGTCGGCCACACAGCAGCCTGTAACTGCTGATAAGCAGCAGAGTCACGAGCCTGTCTCTCCTCGAAGTCATCAGCGCTTAAGCAGCCAGAGAAGTCCATCACCTGGTCCAAATCATACTTCCAGTAGTAATGCATCAAATGCAACAATTGTACCACAGAATACGTCTGCTCGGCCTGCGTGTTCATTAACACCTACGCTAGCAGCACACTTCAATGATAATCTCATAAAACACGTTCAGGGGTGGCCTGCAGACCATGCAGAGAAACAGGCATCAAGATTGCTTGAAGAAGCCCATAATATGGGAAGTGTTCATATGTCAGAAATATGTACTGAATTAAAAAATTTGAGATCTCTAGTTCGAGTATGTGAAATTCAAGCAACCTTGTGAGAGCAGAGGATACTGTTTTTGAGACAACAAATTAAGGAACTCGAAAAGCTAAAAAATCAGAATTCCTTTATGGTTTGAAGATGTGAATAATGGCACATGGAATCCTACAGGAACTGTAAATCTATTGCCCAGTCATAACATTTTGAGCTGCATTTAAGTAGACTGTGGACCGTTACGCTGGGCAAATGAAATGACAAGGGGACGGGGGTCTGTGAGAGTCAATTCAGGGGAAAGATACAAGATTGATCTGTAAAACCCTTGAAATGTAGATTTCTTGTAGATGTATCTTCACGTTGTAAATATGTTTTGTAGAGTGAAGCCATGGGAAGCCATGTGTAACAGAGCTTAGACATCCGAAACTAATCAATGCTGAGGTGGCTAAATACCTAGCCTTTTACATGGAAACCTGTCTGCAAAATTAGCTTTTTTAAAAAAAGAAAAAAATTTGGGGGGTTAATTTATCATTCAGAAATCTTGCATTTTCCAAAATCCAGTGCAAGCGCCAGGCGATTTGTGTCTAAGGATACAACTTTGAGCAGTGTACAGATATCATGAGACAACTGTTCTGCTCCATTTGTTTTACAAAGAAATGTTTTCATTTCCTGTATGTTCCATTCCTTCAGAAGTCCTTGGCCTGATTTTATCCATTTTTTAAGGTGCCCCTTCTCCTTTCTAAGGCGCTGTTGCTGTGGCACTTTTCTATAACCTTCTCATTCCTGTGTACAGTAGCTGGAAGTTGCAGTGATCGAGCATAACCCACATGTTTGTATAAATTATTGAAATCCATTTGCACCCTGTAAGAATGGACTTAAAAGTACTGCTGGGCAAGTGTGCTGAAAGTACATTGACTGCTCAAGTATAAGGAAGTGGCCCAATGAACATGGTTGTGGGAGGGGAAGAGGAAACAGAGCTAGTCAGATGTGAATTGTATCTGTTGTAATAAACATGTTTAAACAAAAAAAAATAAAAGAGAGAGCAAATCAGTTTGGAGGTGGAAGAATATCTGAGAGAATTTGGAGAGATCAATATGATCAATATACATAGTATGAAATTCTAAAGTTATTAATAATGTATTATTTTAATATTTTCAGAAATTATACAACTATAAATTCAATTTTAGTAATATTTATGAAAATAGTAGTTGTAAGTTTTTTCTTCAAAATGGAAGATGTTCTGAATATACTCATGATTTACTTGTCTAAATGAAGATTGTTTCAGCAGTTCCACAGCTTAGGTCATTGGATTTCTCTACATTGCAGGCTGTTCATATTTTTTGAGGTTATTATTTAGTAAAATGTCTATTGTATTCATATGAAGCACTATAGTCGCAAAGAGTGTCCACTCATTCAGAAAAAAATAATTTTTGATTATACTTGAAAGAAATACACAGACATGGTGGGAGGGAGATGGAGACAGAGGCAGAGACAGACAGACAGACAGACATACAATTTGGGGAAACTAAAAACAACTTCTAAATCACATGATGTGAATAAAACACTATTATATGAAGAATTATTAGAAGAATACAAGAGCTCCAAGACTTAAGTGATCCTAAATGTCACTAAAATGGTTGGAAGAATGTAAGAAATTAATATTGTGTTAAATTACCTGGTAAGATGAAACCCAGTTAGTGATAGAGATAGGTGGTTTATTCTTGGTAGCATCAATATCATAAATGGATGAGCAGTATCAATCACTTACAAACTTGAATGTCCAGCATGGGGTACTTAAAGAGGAGATATTAGTAAATCTGTTATTTAAATTTCCCAATGAATGAAAGAAAAGTTTTATATCTCTGCTCCTGTAGATCTTTTCAAATATCTTAGATACGGCGGAATCCTGTGAAGAGTTGGAAGGATTTTCTGTAAGATCCACATTTATTTTTTTATCTGTCTCATTAGAAAACTCATTTTCAGGAGCAGGAGTGCAGTCATAGAAGCAGATATTCCTACATTCCTGAATGAATTTCTTGAATCCAGGCCCACAGCTATTGTGGCACACAGACTAAGGAATCTGAAAGGAACAGAAAGAAAGGTATGTTAGCAAATGCACAGGACTTAATGAAAATTTACACTAGATTGGTTTTTTAAGTTAAAGCATTAATTTACAAATTATATACCTATGAATTTTACAGGCTATGTCTTTCACTGTTCTACAGTTTTAAAGATTAGTCAGAAGAATATCCCACAGTTGCAGAGTTTGGAAATTTTATGAGAAGGGTCAACTATGAGGAAGGGAGTTAGTGTGTGGGAATATTCTGGATGGTCAAGTAGAATGCCAGATTGATCATGTCTCTATATTCATTGGATAAAGGGGAAAGAAGATTGTACTTCCACTGTGATTGTGAATTTTGATTGTCAAGTGGATTAAGAATCATCATGGAAAGCAATCTTTGGGCATTTTATACACAGAAAAGATGGTGTAAGAAGGACTGAGCCTTCTGATAGAGAATCTATTGTCCTAGGAAGCTCAGTAATTTTACTATGTACAGCAGACTGTTGTTAAATAAAGGTAAATGAGGAGGAAGGACTATTGCATGCAGTACAATAAGAAGGCTTAGCTATTCCCATTGACAGAGAAACCCCAGAAGCACTGCATTGTCTAGTCTTCATGCCAGAAACAGAAAAAACAAGAGGAACCAAGACATACAGATAAGAGAGGTGAATGCTTTCAAAATGCCTACCAGAAATTTAACAATTCTGCAAGAAAACTATTTGGGCTAATTTTCTTAGATCAGCAGCCCATTTTTCTGAGGATATTTTTCCTTTAAAAACAAAACAAAGCAACAAAAAGATAAAAATATCTTTATTTCTCAACACATTTCCTCATACACTTTTTTTTCCTGAAACCAGAGAGCTGGTAATCAGGAGCATTCTAAACCCAGATCTGCATGATGGAACTAAACATATACTCCTGTTCTATTTCCTGTCTATGTCATTTTGGGTTCTTGCTGAAGGCCTATGATGATTTCTCTGAAATTCTGAGCTTTCTCAATGTTTCTCTCTCTCTTGGATCTAATTTAAAATGTAAGATTTTTCTTTCATGTCAAATTTCCTTGCAACTTCTAGGATTTTGGTTTCACTATCCTTTTGCTTTCTCTTTGTACTTTAATAAAATAATGTAGGAGTTGTAGGAGTTGTGACCCTAGATACCAAGGCCATCAGGAGAAGGTGTATTGTAACTGCCTGTGATTCTGTGTAAGTGTGTAAGTTGGAAGGTCTGTGGAATGCAGTGACTCTGGATACCCCAAACAAAAGAGGGCCCCAAAGATGCATTACAGTTTCTCTATCAGTGGGCAGTGATGGAGAATTCTAGGTAGAAAGTTGGAGAAACAAGTGTAGTGAGAATTTTAATAGATCTTAATAATAAAAACCCAGAGCTAGATATCAGGGTAAATGCTGAAATATCAGAGAGACAAAAGGAGTGAGACATAGCCACCTCTTACCTCACCAACTCCTCAGTTGAAGATGACTAAACCCTGGTCTACACCTGTCTTATATTCCTCTCTGCCATGCCATATCACTTCCTGTTTTCTCCTCCCTAAAGCTGGAATTAAAGGCTTGTGCCTCTCAAGTACTAGGATCAAAGGCATGAGATCCCAAGGGCTGGGATTAAAGGTGTGTCCCACCACTGTTTGGCATCTATTGTTAAGTAGTGGTTAACTCCAAACTCTGATATTCAAGCAAGCTTTATTTCTTTAGACCACAAAATAAATATCACCACAGACCAGGTGATATACCTTTTGTCAACACTGTGTCTCTGATAAAAGTGATTTTTTTTATTTTGTGTGACTCTGTTTGAACAATATGCTTGTGTATGAGTGCTTGTGATGTTTTCATGTGTGATACTTTGATTATGCTCTTACAAATAAAGCTTTCTGGGTGTCAGAGGGCAGAGATAGGCACTAGCGGATTATATAGGTATGGAGGACTGTAAAGAGAGGAGACAGGAAGTGGTAAGGCAGGGCTGACAGAGGATCTCAGCCCCTTTTGTTGTGAGGAATCAAAGAGTTACAAAGCTACTGTGGCTGCTACCTTGCTTCCCTGATATTTCAAGTTTTTACCCTAATATATGACTCTAGATTTTTTAATGGTAAGATTAATTAGAATGATACTTCATCTGGCATCCAACTTTTGGGCCATGAATTCACAAAATACCTACTTGCCCATGGCTTTGCTGCCACCAGCACTTCCAGAGCTCTATGCGGGTGCTGCACCGCTGGATTCTTTGTGCCACTGACTTTTCCTTTTTTCTCCCAAGCACTATGAGCAGGTCTGGAATTTTCCTGTTGTACCCTCTATGTAGCAATCTTCACAAGTCTCAAATTACACAGGTATCTGAGCTCCAAACACTGCGAGAGGTATCCCCTCACCACCAGCAAAATCTACCTTCAGGCAGCTCTGTGCTTTCACTTCCCACTGGTCCCATTTGATGCTTTTGCATGTTCCCCTCTGTCTTTTTTTCAATGCCTCACTCATTGGCTCCTTTTCCCAGTGAGTTGTTGGCCTCCACTGGACTTCCTTTGCAGTGTGCTGACATATAATCAGTGACAGCTGTTCTAAGCCAAGCTGTGTACCACATGTCTCTGCCCAGACATGCTATGCAGTAACAGACATCTTCACTCTTCAGTGTCATCATCATCAGATTTGGAATTATCCAGACAGAAGCCATCTGTCTTCTGGAGTATGCAGAAGCTGTGGCAAAGGCTGATATTGGACAAGTGAATTCAGATCAACAAGGCACAGACAAGGTAACCCTTTGCCATAAGGAAATGTTTTGGGAGGCCTCTCACTGACTCACTTGTCAAACTTTGTTCAATCATTCCCTGTCATCATGGAGGAACCTCTTCCCCAGAGGAATTAAAAGACCTAAAGCCTATTGTAAAAAACATACTGCTCTGGATGATAGTAACAGCTTTAGAACATAAAACAAACAATTCAGGGGAAACTGTAATGCAAATATTTTGGCAAACTTGTATAAATGATCAAAGACCAATGTTAAAAATATTAATAAATGATATTGTAATTGAAGGTCTTATAGACATCGGGGCAGATGTGACAATAATTGTATGAGAATCTTGGCATCCAAACTGGTCTCTTCAGGAGGTAAATATTCAGCTTTTAGTGACTGGAAATTTATCTCAGGTAAAACAAAGCAGAAGATGAATCAAATGTATAAGACCATAAGAACAGAGAAAAAAATTAAAGCCATATGTGGCTAACACAGCAATGCATTTATGAGGTGTGATTTGTTACAGCAGTGTAATACCCAGATTAACATTCTTCCAATCTAAGAAAGAACCTATAAACTAATGTATGTTTGCTTGCAAAAAATGGGCTTATCAGAGGTTTACCAAATGAAAATTGAAATTCAGATGTCAGTCCACCAGAAAAATATCACTTTGATAGACATGTGTCATTTAAGCAAGGCTTAGGAGAATGCAGACTCCAGAATGTATTTTGCTTCTGTTGTCTCCCTGCATGCTGCTGCTGCTATGTATATGGTAAGGAAACTCATCCGCTCCCTGTGTGTTTATCT